GCCATCCCAGCAGGTCTTTTGCGCGTTTCCTTAGAATCTATTCTTGGCAGAGTTGAATGTCAGTACATTCCATAATCCTGCTTCTAGAATCGCTTTGCAAAACCATTTTACACACCCTTTTTTTAGGAAGTGGAGTTGTAACTATGTAGTCTCAACGGTTTACTTTATCCAGTGGTGCATATTCTCCTTGAAGGAATTATAAATTCGTCGAAAATATTGCCTTCCAGTTATTTTTAATTTGATGATGATAACGAATCGGCAAAAAATGGTATTGTCGTGCTATATCTATCAAACTTATGTTTGGAAATATAATTTGAATAGGAATATTTCTAAACATTGTTGGCCTTAACAACTTTTATTTATAACAAGGCTTGAATTTCTACTAATATGTGATTTTGAGCAGCAAAGCCATCTACCAATTCTCCTGATAGACTTTTAAAACACTCTTTTTAAGCAGTTTTTGCAAGACACCGGAAGTTAATCTGACATTTAAAGTGAAAATTGAATGAAAAAGCTAAACAAAACAATATTACAATTTCCATTTTTAAAGTTTTGCCAACTTTGTTAAGTAATCTCGCCCTCAACTTGGTTGACGCAATCTTTTCTGAGGATATGAAAGTTTTTTTTATGGACAAGAAAAGAACTGGCGATTGACCTGTCTACTGCCCTCTCTAAGCAACAATCCAATTGATCTTTAACGTCTTCACGCTTTCGAAATGCTGTTGAATAATTTTCCGAACGATGGTTTATGTTATAGCTTTAAAATCTTTTAGACTATAGCGAAGAAAATAACTACAAATTCTTAAATATAGTCAAACTTGCAGAAAGGCTAGCGTATTTAAAAATATACACATAAACAAACCTACATATATACACTTACCACCTGTTTTTGTTATGCACACGTAGCTATACTTGCAGTCCGCATAGGTCGGCAGGCCGAAGATGTTGGGTACGGCTTTGTCTACCTCATAGGCAGTTGCTGTAGGATTCTGAAATAAAAAGGGAGGACACACTCTTAATGAATTCTAAATTACACTCTGCTGCAATTTTCAAACACATTTAGCCTAAAAATGTTGGCTTTACCATTATATTCTACCACCCAGACTCTTCAGTCTTCGAGATTGACGCAGTTGCATTGCTGTTAAGGCCTACCAATCTCTTCAAACATGTTCAATTAAATTTGTATAACTTAAGGCGACTCAGTTGATGACTTGTTACTGTGCTAGTAGCTGCAGTAGGTGACTTCAACAATTTAAAGGGTGGCAGTTTATATTTCACTGGCCATGTGCCAATACCTGAACGTGATGGAGGAAAGCCGATGCTGTAGATAGGTGAATTAGAAAGGCATACTAAGCCACCTCCACTTTTGGGTGTTAACTTGAGTCTTGCGCGACACAATAGGATTAGTAACCACCGAGTCGATATCAAATTGAGATGACTCAAAAACGATTGGTTTGAAGCTTTCAACTACTTATGTTTGACTTTTAGATGTATCTACGAATAGAGAGCGACTTATGAACCATGCTCGTTCTAGAGCATCGAGGCACCTTGAATGAAACAAGCCCAGCAGCAGATTACACTGAAGTACATAAGATTTACATATGATGTTTGGATAAAAATTGTTTTCGACTTTAAGAGCGAAAACGTCTTTGCTCATAGTTCTTAGCTTGTAGGTAGTTTTTCAAGCACCAACTACGGTATAATGGTCAACGCAGAGGGATGAATGCGGAGAACAGAGAGAAAGTTCCCCAAATGAAGGTAGGGGTGGAGTCTGTAATAGAACGACATTTTCTGATAATGCGCGTTTATCAAAGTGGGTTTTCCATGCTCCTTAACCGAAGTCACTACCTCAGCGCCATAGCGTGATTTTTATTTCACTTCTGCTAACAGCCTACGGGACCTTCTTTTTATTTCTGATGCAGTGATACCCAGATACATGAAGGATGTGACGTCGTTTGGAAAACATGCATCACAGCAAAAAATAGCAGTTCAAATGTCCTTTCTGGTTATTAATGGCAGCCTAGCGAAAATTCAAAGATGCTCTCACTCCAGGAGTGGTTGACAATCGGATATGTTATGTTGGTGACCAGAGGTTGGTCTGAAGTGCTAGTTTTTTCGTTAAAGTGCTGTTTTCCAATCAAAAGCGTCAAATAAATGATCGCGCAGTTGATAAATGGGGTTTTGCCTTGATCCACGCATTGAATGATTAGAGCTAATTGTCAATTCATAACACCATTAACAGTTTGTGCAAGATAGTCAGACATAATTCTCTTTCATAACATCCAAGCCTACGTTGTAGAGGCATAGCAGCTGGAATGTGTGAATTTGTTCTTTTAAAAGACTAGCCCAGAACATGACCACCCACCCCAGATACGGTTGCCATCTACCCGATTCAAATGGTCGAGTGGTCTAGTCAAAGCGACATACAACTTTAGTAGTGCGCCACCTCTCGTAAAAATGATAAATAAGCTGAGCATTGCTACCATTAATTGGTCTCCTTTGATTAACTACGCTTCTGATTGGCTTGAACGTGGCCAGTAAATACTACCGCTACAATTCATACAAACATGACTCTTGCGTTAGTTGCAGCATATGAGTATTTTTCTCAAGACAGAGGAAAGGATTAAATTCGAAGTTAGCACTGTATTTTATGGCTCATTTTTAAGCCTATAAGGCCGTTTTAAATTCGTTTAGACAGATATTAGAAACACGACCCCTTTATCTTAATTTGGCAGACTAAAACTTTCTTCTCTAGTCAAATGATGCAGAATGTTGGCATTTTAAAGATTAAATAAATTAACACCCACAATATCTGATAACTGCCTCAATATTTGATAGAAATGAACAACTGAGGTGGGTTTATTTCTCTAGGAAAGAGATTAGATTTTACCATTTTCCCAAATTGGATAAAGTTTTCACTTAAAATCAACTGAAATGGCTCGCTATTTAAGAAAAAATACTATATAATTTGCATTTTCCATCTGAAAAGAACAGCAAGGGCAACTGTTGTTTGGCAGCAAAGTACCCCTTTTGGTGAGTAATTTTAATAATGCAGGCCGCCTTACCTTGGTAATAAACGGCAAAGAGACAACTGTAGCAGCTTCGATTTCGTAATCTGTGATTTTCAGTATTGCCGGATCTGTCACATTCGCTTCTTGTGTTATCACTGGATCAACTAAAAACGAAAAGACAAGCATTTTGTGGATTCAAAGGGGCATGGAATCATGCAAGTGTGCATTAAACTATTTTTACTTCCGCTTTGAAATAAACGGATAGCTGTAATCACGACTAAGCAAGTAAATAAAAAAGGAAGCTGTCATTAATTTGACACTACACGAATTATGATAAATGTTCATTGTAGCATCACTTATTGTTAAACGCGCCATATAAAAACACTTCTACGTTCTATAAGTCCATTTTCGAAATGAAATACAGCTTGAAGATGTGCGAGATTAGCGAATTCCCCGTCACTTTACTGTGAACGTATCGTGCACTACTTAACCACCGTAATAAAATGGTGGCATCATATACAACATCGTTGATGGTGTGATTCACAAACTTTTGAAATCTGATTGCCAAATTTAAGATTTATTCTAACGAAATCTGCAAATAATGTTACTTATTGGTACGGTGTTTTTAATCAACAATACAAAAGTTATGTAGAGCCATAAATGTCACGTTACTGTTTCATTCGCTCTTAGCATTCTAACAAATGAGCATATTGTAAGGAAACAGGTTCAATTTTTTACTAAGAGAGGCAAATCAGTCACAAATTAATGTGCCTTTTGCACCGTGTCAGTAAAGAAATTTTAGCAAGAAGAGCTATGTCTATTAACCACATTTAACAGCTAACGCCGGTGCATAGGGACGACCCATTTTCAGGAATGCATGGAAAAGAGCTGCATCTTTGCAGAAAGAAATTCCAACACACCATCGGTGGCGTTTTTGATAAAGAGCGTCGCCTGCTGAATGCCATCGGAGAAGACTATTCGAGTTATGCCGGCGCCATTGAAGGTCCCCTCCATGGTGAACTCACTACTGCCTTATTGAAGTAAAAAGAAAAAGGACAGAAAGCACCCATTTCAGTCTCTTGTCATCTTCCAGGTTCATCAACCAATCATACCGACTTATTAACTTGTTTAAAACTGGTTACCTAAGCTAAAACAACCAATCACTGCAATCTACTAATTCAGTGAATGGAAAAATGGGAATATTTGAGAGTTAAAGCCCTCAAATTTTCACCGATATTATCGATATTTTTAGTATTTTGCTGATACATCGAAAACTTGATTCAGTCTGTGTGCATGATTTGCGCCATTCGTAAATTCTCTTAAAATTTTGTAGACATGAATGACATCCGCAGAATAAAATACGTCAACATGATTTTTAACTAACAAGTGTGATCGCCCATTTTCCAAAACGACAGCGAAATCAAAATGAAACAGTGATTACCTTGTGAGACATGTACAAGTGACAAATTTTAACGAGGGGCACCTACCCGTTTCCTTCGCGCACAATTCGCAGGAGGCGTTACATCGTGAATGCATTTCTGGAATTGTTTGCTCAAAATGAGGAGAAAACAAAATGAACGTCCTGCTTTTACCACTTTGCACAATTTTCAAAAACCGCAGCCATCCCAGCAGGTCTTTTGCGCGTTTCCTTAGAATCTATTCTTGGCAGAGTTGAATGTCAGTACATTCCATAATCCTGCTTCTAGAATCGCTTTGCAAAACCATTTTACACACCCTTTTTTTAGGAAGTGGAGTTGTAACTATGTAGTCTCAACGGTTTACTTTATCCAGTGGTGCATATTCTCCTTGAAGGAATTATAAATTCGTCGAAAATATTGCCTTCCAGTTATTTTTAATTTGATGATGATAACGAATCGGCAAAAAATGGTATTGTCGTGCTATATCTATCAAACTTATGTTTGGAAATATAATTTGAATAGGAATATTTCTAAACATTGTTGGCCTTAACAACTTTTATTTATAACAAGGCTTGAATTTCTACTAATATGTGATTTTGAGCAGCAAAGCCATCTACCAATTCTCCTGATAGACTTTTAAAACACTCTTTTTAAGCAGTTTTTGCAAGACACCGGAAGTTAATCTGACATTTAAAGTGAAAATTGAATGAAAAAGCTAAACAAAACAATATTACAATTTCCATTTTTAAAGTTTTGCCAACTTTGTTAAGTAATCTCGCCCTCAACTTGGTTGACGCAATCTTTTCTGAGGATATGAAAGTTTTTTTTATGGACAAGAAAAGAACTGGCGATTGACCTGTCTACTGCCCTCTCTAAGCAACAATCCAATTGATCTTTAACGTCTTCACGCTTTCGAAATGCTGTTGAATAATTTTCCGAACGATGGTTTATGTTATAGCTTTAAAATCTTTTAGACTATAGCGAAGAAAATAACTACAAATTCTTAAATATAGTCAAACTTGCAGAAAGGCTAGCGTATTTAAAAATATACACATAAACAAACCTACATATATACACTTACCACCTGTTTTTGTTATGCACACGTAGCTATACTTGCAGTCCGCATAGGTCGGCAGGCCGAAGATGTTGGGTACGGCTTTGTCTACCTCATAGGCAGTTGCTGTAGGATTCTGAAATAAAAAGGGAGGACACACTCTTAATGAATTCTAAATTACACTCTGCTGCAATTTTCAAACACATTTAGCCTAAAAATGTTGGCTTTACCATTATATTCTACCACCCAGACTCTTCAGTCTTCGAGATTGACGCAGTTGCATTGCTGTTAAGGCCTACCAATCTCTTCAAACATGTTCAATTAAATTTGTATAACTTAAGGCGACTCAGTTGATGACTTGTTACTGTGCTAGTAGCTGCAGTAGGTGACTTCAACAATTTAAAGGGTGGCAGTTTATATTTCACTGGCCATGTGCCAATACCTGAACGTGATGGAGGAAAGCCGATGCTGTAGATAGGTGAATTAGAAAGGCATACTAAGCCACCTCCACTTTTGGGTGTTAACTTGAGTCTTGCGCGACACAATAGGATTAGTAACCACCGAGTCGATATCAAATTGAGATGACTCAAAAACGATTGGTTTGAAGCTTTCAACTACTTATGTTTGACTTTTAGATGTATCTACGAATAGAGAGCGACTTATGAACCATGCTCGTTCTAGAGCATCGAGGCACCTTGAATGAAACAAGCCCAGCAGCAGATTACACTGAAGTACATAAGATTTACATATGATGTTTGGATAAAAATTGTTTTCGACTTTAAGAGCGAAAACGTCTTTGCTCATAGTTCTTAGCTTGTAGGTAGTTTTTCAAGCACCAACTACGGTATAATGGTCAACGCAGAGGGATGAATGCGGAGAACAGAGAGAAAGTTCCCCAAATGAAGGTAGGGGTGGAGTCTGTAATAGAACGACATTTTCTGATAATGCGCGTTTATCAAAGTGGGTTTTCCATGCTCCTTAACCGAAGTCACTACCTCAGCGCCATAGCGTGATTTTTATTTCACTTCTGCTAACAGCCTACGGGACCTTCTTTTTATTTCTGATGCAGTGATACCCAGATACATGAAGGATGTGACGTCGTTTGGAAAACATGCATCACAGCAAAAAATAGCAGTTCAAATGTCCTTTCTGGTTATTAATGGCAGCCTAGCGAAAATTCAAAGATGCTCTCACTCCAGGAGTGGTTGACAATCGGATATGTTATGTTGGTGACCAGAGGTTGGTCTGAAGTGCTAGTTTTTTCGTTAAAGTGCTGTTTTCCAATCAAAAGCGTCAAATAAATGATCGCGCAGTTGATAAATGGGGTTTTGCCTTGATCCACGCATTGAATGATTAGAGCTAATTGTCAATTCATAACACCATTAACAGTTTGTGCAAGATAGTCAGACATAATTCTCTTTCATAACATCCAAGCCTACGTTGTAGAGGCATAGCAGCTGGAATGTGTGAATTTGTTCTTTTAAAAGACTAGCCCAGAACATGACCACCCACCCCAGATACGGTTGCCATCTACCCGATTCAAATGGTCGAGTGGTCTAGTCAAAGCGACATACAACTTTAGTAGTGCGCCACCTCTCGTAAAAATGATAAATAAGCTGAGCATTGCTACCATTAATTGGTCTCCTTTGATTAACTACGCTTCTGATTGGCTTGAACGTGGCCAGTAAATACTACCGCTACAATTCATACAAACATGACTCTTGCGTTAGTTGCAGCATATGAGTATTTTTCTCAAGACAGAGGAAAGGATTAAATTCGAAGTTAGCACTGTATTTTATGGCTCATTTTTAAGCCTATAAGGCCGTTTTAAATTCGTTTAGACAGATATTAGAAACACGACCCCTTTATCTTAATTTGGCAGACTAAAACTTTCTTCTCTAGTCAAATGATGCAGAATGTTGGCATTTTAAAGATTAAATAAATTAACACCCACAATATCTGATAACTGCCTCAATATTTGATAGAAATGAACAACTGAGGTGGGTTTATTTCTCTAGGAAAGAGATTAGATTTTACCATTTTCCCAAATTGGATAAAGTTTTCACTTAAAATCAACTGAAATGGCTCGCTATTTAAGAAAAAATACTATATAATTTGCATTTTCCATCTGAAAAGAACAGCAAGGGCAACTGTTGTTTGGCAGCAAAGTACCCCTTTTGGTGAGTAATTTTAATAATGCAGGCCGCCTTACCTTGGTAATAAACGGCAAAGAGACAACTGTAGCAGCTTCGATTTCGTAATCTGTGATTTTCAGTATTGCCGGATCTGTCACATTCGCTTCTTGTGTTATCACTGGATCAACTAAAAACGAAAAGACAAGCATTTTGTGGATTCAAAGGGGCATGGAATCATGCAAGTGTGCATTAAACTATTTTTACTTCCGCTTTGAAATAAACGGATAGCTGTAATCACGACTAAGCAAGTAAATAAAAAAGGAAGCTGTCATTAATTTGACACTACACGAATTATGATAAATGTTCATTGTAGCATCACTTATTGTTAAACGCGCCATATAAAAACACTTCTACGTTCTATAAGTCCATTTTCGAAATGAAATACAGCTTGAAGATGTGCGAGATTAGCGAATTCCCCGTCACTTTACTGTGAACGTATCGTGCACTACTTAACCACCGTAATAAAATGGTGGCATCATATACAACATCGTTGATGGTGTGATTCACAAACTTTTGAAATCTGATTGCCAAATTTAAGATTTATTCTAACGAAATCTGCAAATAATGTTACTTATTGGTACGGTGTTTTTAATCAACAATACAAAAGTTATGTAGAGCCATAAATGTCACGTTACTGTTTCATTCGCTCTTAGCATTCTAACAAATGAGCATATTGTAAGGAAACAGGTTCAATTTTTTACTAAGAGAGGCAAATCAGTCACAAATTAATGTGCCTTTTGCACCGTGTCAGTAAAGAAATTTTAGCAAGAAGAGCTATGTCTATTAACCACATTTAACAGCTAACGCCGGTGCATAGGGACGACCCATTTTCAGGAATGCATGGAAAAGAGCTGCATCTTTGCAGAAAGAAATTCCAACACACCATCGGTGGCGTTTTTGATAAAGAGCGTCGCCTGCTGAATGCCATCGGAGAAGACTATTCGAGTTATGCCGGCGCCATTGAAGGTCCCCTCCATGGTGAACTCACTACTGCCTTATTGAAGTAAAAAGAAAAAGGACAGAAAGCACCCATTTCAGTCTCTTGTCATCTTCCAGGTTCATCAACCAATCATACCGACTTATTAACTTGTTTAAAACTGGTTACCTAAGCTAAAACAACCAATCACTGCAATCTACTAATTCAGTGAATGGAAAAATGGGAATATTTGAGAGTTAAAGCCCTCAAATTTTCACCGATATTATCGATATTTTTAGTATTTTGCTGATACATCGAAAACTTGATTCAGTCTGTGTGCATGATTTGCGCCATTCGTAAATTCTCTTAAAATTTTGTAGACATGAATGACATCCGCAGAATAAAATACGTCAACATGATTTTTAACTAACAAGTGTGATCGCCCATTTTCCAAAACGACAGCGAAATCAAAATGAAACAGTGATTACCTTGTGAGACATGTACAAGTGACAAATTTTAACGAGGGGCACCTACCCGTTTCCTTCGCGCACAATTCGCAGGAGGCGTTACATCGTGAATGCATTTCTGGAATTGTTTGCTCAAAATGAGGAGAAAACAAAATGAACGTCCTGCTTTTACCACTTTGCACAATTTTCAAAAACCGCAAGATTTCACTCATTCAGTTAATTTGGATAAAGCAAAGTATTTTGTGAAACTGGTATGCATCTTTTTATCCGTGTTGAGTCAATTCTCCACAGACGTTTGCGAATGTGCTTACCTGTCTTAAACTCAAATAGATACATAACTTGAAATTTACTGAAGTAAAGAGAGCAGATGATGAAATCGCCTCATCCGCTTAAAGTAATTCCGATCGTCAATAGTCTAAAATGCGGTTCACCAGCCTGATTTACATAGAAGACTTAATTAACCACGAATCCACCCGCCAAAAGTTTAGTTGTTCGGGTAAGCAAAGCGTAATGAAATAAGATATGTGGTCATGGGGTTACGTAGAATCTAAACATTAGGATGCAACCGCCTTAAGTCTCAAATACCAACGTTGCGCTTTACATATGTCATCAATTCTCACTTCGATGGCAAAACCCAGAGGGTAGGTGATGTTGACATAGTCATCGGTGTCCATTTTGAAGGTGCAAATTGTCTTGCGTGAATTTCGACTGTCACAGAAGGTGCTTCTGTACATGCTGTAAAATTTAAAAGTAAAATTCAATTTTATATAAACGCGGCAGTTAAACTTGGGGTTTCTCCGGTAATACTTTCTGTCAAAATTGATAAACACGGACCTGCTTACCCAACAGATGGCATCTACTCCAAAACCATCAGGAATAGAATAATTTTTTCTAAAGTTAGTTATCTAGTCACTAGAGGAAATCAAGCAAACTCACACTTTGCCACTCACTTTAAGGAAAAAGACGTAATTTTATCCTCAAAAAAACAATTTTTAGCATCCAAAAGATTTTGTATTTTGAGTACCGTTAAGTTTTAAATATTTACAGCTACTTAAGTAAAATCCTTAGTTTACTTACATCACTTTCGCTTCGAGGGCCTGACAAATGAGAGAAATTTCTAAAGTTAATCAGAAACAAAATCGGTCAATGAAAAGTGTATTTTAAAGGAAGTTAATTCGATTTTAGCAAATAATCAAATAAAAGGAGGTGAAATTACGGAATACTGTCTCACCTACAAATATTACAACTGCCGGGTAAAGCATCGTGGACCAACGAAGTTTCGTCTGAAGTTTGAATAACTTTTCATACTAGCTAGGTGATTGTCAGATTGTATGTTCATGAAGGTCGAGGCTTCAATACGCATTGCCATTGGTTCATCCATTAAGGCGGTAAGCGCATTGGGCAAACAGTCTGTCTAAGTGCGCAAAAGCAGGAGGGTGTATAATCCCCCTTTCAATTTGTATCAATCATCAAGTCTAATGGCGCTCTATGTGCCTAACTAATTGGAAACTAAAAATTATTAATCATTTAATGCCACCAGAAATGTCTGCGAGCTCATGGCAGTAATGATTGTATAGAAAGTTCGTGGGTTGTCAACAGAAATACCATGACTTGACTCTCGGGGTTGCAAGATAGCGACCGAAATCCAGGATGAAGATCCTGTCTATTCCGGGATATAAATAGAATAAATATCGTTTGATTATATATATATCTTCCCATTGTCGACAGTTGGCTTTATTATTCTCCGTGGTTTCTGTTCTGTGTCGGCAATCACTGCAAGGTCGGAGATTTCGATTGATCCAGAGTTTGTCGCCTTAAAGAACTACATTGTGAAATTTAAAACTTCTAAAGCTCTCAAAAAAGATTAACATTCCAGAGCAGTTTTATGTACCATTTATTGTTTGTAGGATGACTTTCAAAATAATTAAATAAATAACTTGATTTCAAAGGATTACTGTTTGTTTAGATGTATCTTTTAGGTAAGAGGCGGTCAGCACATACGGGCCTCGTGCTGGACGGATACCTTCGGATCCCGTGGAGAAAATAATCCCCAAGCTCGATAAAGTTAAAATATTGGTATCCTTTTATAATCGCTACTCAATAAAATTTGTCCTCATCCAGCTCGTCTACTTGTTCCAAGGATGTGAAGACCGTGAATGAAGAAATAAAGTCTAAACCTATTACACTAGTTCCTCAGTATTTATTCAACCTTGCCTACTTGTTCGCATTTTAGTAATTTTAACGACCTATAAAGTATCCGGATGGCTACTTGAAGCATGGGCTGGAAAAGGGGAAAGAGAGAATGCACATACAGGCACAGAATTAAGCTCATTCTAATCTGGTTCCATTAAAGTCGTTAAGAGGTATGTTAATATCTTTGGGTAAACGCAACTTCCATATTCCTTCGTCTGTGAGGCTTTGGAGATTTAGCTATCCAAATCAAATGTCTACTTCTTTAACATTAAAGTGATACATTTGGGAACCGGCTTTAATGGGGATGTAGGTCCCTAATGGGATGGAAAAGCGAAGCAGTTATAATTTTCCCAAATTATTTACCTGTTTCTAGCAAACGGAGAAATTTTTTTCATTCAAGGCCTTACTTTAAGATAATAGACCACCTACATCAGCGTACAAATGCGATGGCAACGCCACTAGTGCTTTTATTTGCTCTCAAACGATTAGACAAATATTTTGACTTAAGAACTAGTGTTGTGGTTGTGATGATAGGGGGATTTTGGAGGCAACAAGAGAAAATTCGCCTGATTCCAATGTCAACTCATCATATTTACATACTAGTCAACGCGAATTCAAGGGAGCCTCATCTTGTTGACTTACGCATTTTGGCTTAGCCCACTTACACACCACAACTACCACCACCACTACTACACAGTTCTAAGTAGCACGGCTGCCCCATTACATTCAAATGGGGAACAGCTGGCGGTAGGTCAACCAATTCCAGTCCAATCCAGTCCTGCAGGGCAGTGAGGTGTTCATTTTCTATAGCCCGAGCTTCAATTGGCAACGTGGTACTAGTGCAATGTTCATGAATACCCAGCCCTTCTGCTTACTAGAAACAAATCTCCTTTCCTACTGCTGTGTTTGGTATGACTTCAGAGAAGACTAGGCTTACTGTAGTGTTGGTAGTGGCAGCCTACCAAGCCATCTGAGAGGGAAGCTATTCAGACATCTCAAACTGATTAGCAAAGCTTAATGCAGCTGAAGAAGAAAATTTCGCCATGGATGGCATAGACCATGGAAATTCGCCAATCAGACGTTATTAAAGTCACCTCAGCTGTAAACTCTCAGCCACATTCCGTGTTTTCAGCCAACAGCAGATCTAATCCCATCGTCATTAAGCCTTATAATTACTTACTCAATTATCACCCTTGTTATAGCTTTACCAATGACGCAAATCAGCTAAATTTATTTGTGGGTCCAGGCAATCCGTAAACTCATCTGATTAGATGATCCATTCCTTTATTCATTCATTCATTTATTAAACTGTGTTTGCATTCAATCCACACTGCTTTCTTGCCAAAGGACAATACTTTCTGGTGAGTCACTGCAAATTTCGTTGCATTTGCGACAACCAATTCGAAAACCCCTCAGAGCAACCTTCATTTGAAGCAAAGTGGAAGTGTAAAGGTTAAAACCAGCCAACACTTGGCAATTGAAACGACACTAAGTATTTGATTATATTGCGGCCCTTCTATGACCTTTGCTCTCATACTATCATTATGTCAATTCCTTCGCTATTGTTGTACCCTCAAGCAAATATTAGGATGAACTGAACTGGCATGTAGAAGGCATGCAACTTGCCTGCTTTTGTCTAAAAAAAACAAATGAAGTAACTTTACTACGACATGTTTCGTTTCTTACATCCGCTGAAATCTTACTGTCTAGTAAGCTAAAATAAACAAAATCCAAATGTTCTGAAGCAGTACCGTCCCAATTTGTGTGGCAGATCCACTGATAGCCACCCCTGTGAATTACTGGGGAACAATTCCCGAGTTCACTTTGAAAACAAATGCAAATACTGATAAAGCACTGCAACAAAATTAGTAAATTTCTCCAAAATTGAGCCGCCACTTTTCGGCTTGTACTGGTTACGATTACAAAGATGAGATCCCATGCGTGGGCAGCTCAAGCCTTAATAGTGAATGTCGCGATAGGTAATTTGACATTATCGCGTTTATTTGTTGCGAGATTCCGCTGGTTTAACTACTCGAACATCAATCCAGTTCGCCAGGGAGTTTGTCTCCGCTTCTTAAAAAATCACATAAGCCATACATTAGATTTAAGATTAAAAAGTATATTTCCTCATATGGATGAGTTAACACGACATTTTTGCCTGAAGAAGGCCTAGCCAACTGGACAGCTTGAACTAGGGGAACGTGAAGCATGTGGCCGAAATACTGGAGCAATTGGGATGTACTGTTGCGGTACCGCCATACCCGTAACCATTTTTAGGAAATTAAATTGATTTATTTAAAGTCCCGATTTAAATCCGTCAGGCTGATCAGTAATGAGGCAGATTTTGATGAGAATTAAAATGGCTTGAGTGTCGGTGCTCAAGTCCCGCGTCACCAATCACTCCCACTCTCGGCATCCGAATGGGTCAGAAGGTAAATCTCTGGGTGGATTATTAGAAAGTGACCATTTAGTAGACATCTTTGTTTATTTACTTAAACCGCCGCAAATGTAGATCGGAGCCTATGTGTACTTTGCTAGTGTTTATTTCGCGAATGCGCTTCAGCACCTGTGATTTGCACTGTGCCCGCAGGGTGCATGGAAATATTTATTATGTCCACTAATTTAAAATAGAAATATGTTAATAAACAAAACGGTCATATCGCAGTGAAAATGTGGAACAGAAGCAGCGATTACAGTTTGGATTTGTTGCAGTGTTTACGAGACTTGGCTGGACCAACACAGACAAAAAGAAAAGACATAAAGTGCACAAATGGGCCTTCTACAGCAGGTTTTATCGGAGGAGCTGTTGCAGTTTAAATCACACCATCGGCATAGCATGAAGGAAACGTTTACAAGCAAATGTCCAAACCAGAGTTTTGATTAAGGAGATAAACAAAACCCGGGTATTACGGATGGAGGGATGTGTGCCATGACACTTAGTTTCGATTGATGATAAAGACACTATAGCATTCCTAACCAAGCTACTAGTACCTTTGTTGCAAATTAACCTTCATTATGCATGATGCATGAGAATTCATGTTTCATATGTTTTACTTATTAATTTGTGGTGAGAATACACTTTCCAACAAAAGACAAGGATTTGTCGAGATGGAGGTGTTGAAAATAAAATGACCAACGTCAGGAGGCGGAGTGGTAATTGCCGGGCATACTGACTATCACAAGTGAATTAGATTAAGTTGAATCACCTCAAGACATTTTGGTTTGATGCTAAAACTCAAATCTGCCTTGACTCACCTTCTACATACAATTACTAATAGAAGAATTCAAACGCTCACATTTGTTCACCGTGCTCCCAGAAGTATTCGTATTTCGTGCCACCCCACCACCTTGACATTAATCAGCGGTAGCGTTATGGTTACGGTTAGCTTAAAGTAGGCGTCTAATGCTGTGCCTGACTGGTAGAGATCAAGGTGGTTAATACATTCCGTCATCTTTGGAACCCCTATTGGGTTAAAATGCTCTGCTGCTGAGTGGATGTGCGACTGCAAGAATGTGTGGCAGAACATCCAAACGCTCTGCCGCAGTTAAAGCCTGCTTGCATTCTTCCGCACGGACTAATATCTGTAGGATCGAATTTTGTTACCTTCGATGACAAGAAAGTTCGTTCATCACCACAACGCTGCACTCCCGCTTCAGGAAATTGAACTCAGCTTTTGTACAAATTACATAAACAATATGTCAAGCATAGAATCCCAAAATGACTTGCTCACGACCATAAAAGCGCTGTCGTGATATTCGTTTCCAAATAAATTTCAATGGACTGGACAGTTTAAACCAAGAGAATATGGAAGATATGGCTGCTTAACTAAAGTAATCAGCGATGGAGTTTTTTGCGCACCGATGTGTTGGAAGTGATGTTTTCTGGAAAATAAAGTAAACCCAAAAAGGCTTTATTTCATATTCATCAAGCTGACTGAGAATAAGGATATTTCCACCAAGAATTTGAGCGGATTGACTTTTGGCACTAAATCCAAGCCTCAATAATTTAGTACTGCGTGCATTAGTGTCACATTAGCAAGCCTACATGCAGGTTTAATAATATCGTTTCCGGGGTGAGCTCAATAATACATGTCTTTTACTGAATGAAATGCGGCGAGTTCCTGTGCAGTAATGCGATGAGGACATGAAGGCAAGTTTGACGGTTGGTGTTTTCCACTACAGACAAAAGGAGATGTGGGTCGTAGGTGACATTATCTGGGTGAATCACCAAACCAGCAGTCAGCCACGAGTATTGTGCACACTCCTCCGATTTCTAGATATCTCGATTATTTTAGCCGGGTCTCAGTAATGTCTGTGCACACACAACAACAAAATTTGCAATACTACATCAGTTAGCTCCCCGCCGCATTTGTATTATACATTCACACTTATAAATAGCGATTTTATCAGAAGTTAGAATAGGGGAATGTGTGGTGAGGGGTGGTTCCCCCTGGCAGTGATTTACGCCTCCCGAACAGGGTAAGAGAGTAAATGATTTGAGGCAATCACTCAAACAGAATCGACTCAAGCCCACAATTAAATAAGTCGAAAATACTTGATAAAGTCATTTTATCTTGCTGATGAAGCATCTTACGTGTTGTCCTTTACTGTGTTTGATAATATCAGGTGCTTCCGGGTTAATAAGCAGCCGTTCAAAATACGGTTTCACTATCAGGACAGTAGAGGAAGGCAGAGGTTGATGATACTCGTGTTTTGGCAAGCAGTGGGGGTGGTTCCGCGACAGAGACACCAGAATCAGGATGCATGGACCGTCCATGCAGATAGCGGTCAATTTCAACG